TGTTGATTTGTGATGGTAGCCATTCTGACAGGGGTGAAGGGATACCTCATTGTCTTTTTAATTTGCATTTCTCTGATGATTAATAACTGAGCATTTTTTCATATGTCTCTTGGCCATCTGTATGTCCATTTTGGAGAAGTATCTATTTAGGTCCTTGCCCATTTTTAATTGAATTGTTTGTCTTCCTCTTGTTAGGTTGTATGAGTTCCTTATATATTTTGGATTTTAACCTTTTATCAGATATATCATCAAACCTGCAAGCTAGAAGTACAAAGCGTTTTCAGTAAATACAGTGATTTCATTGTGGAAACAGATACCTATCAGTGCAGAAGCTTAGATCTTCCAAATCTTTTTCAGCGTTACCTCTGCTTCTGTTGTCACATTTCCCCTCTTCACGCTGAGCTTTCTGTCTTGGACTTATGAGGACCCTTGTGGGTTATACTGGGACCACCCTGCTAATTCAGGATGATGTTCCCATCTCAAAAATTCTTAACTTACAACTGCAAATTCTATTTTGCCAATTAAGGTAACAATATTCACAAATTCTGGATTAGGAAGAGGTTTTTTTTCAGTCTAGCAAAGGGTCATTTGCAAGTTTGTCTCTGTGTATGTGCGTTTGTATGATTTTATGTATGTATATATGTGAGGGTGATTACGTGAAGTGTGCTTGTGTTTTGTCCATTCTATCAGGCTTTTCTTCATTATTAGGGGTAGTCTATTTTTTTTGCTACAGGTGACAATTACTTTTCAAAATCTGTTTGACATTAAACATAGCTTTTTTTCTCCACGGGATTTTCACCTACCCAACTCTGAGACTCCTTTTCCAGATACCTCCTCAGAGTCTACTAATAAATAAGGACTCCACCCTCCTTTTCAAATTATTGTCATTTACACAGTGAGTCATTCCTTTTTCTTCAGATACATGATAAAGTCTTGTTTTATAGTGTCTAAATCATGTGTATTCTTAATATTTAACTATCACCACAAAATTAAATTGACTCCTTGAATATGATTTATAAAATGAATTAGTAAATATCAACTAAAGATTCTGTAAACCCCTTTATTACTTAGTGTAACTACCCCTAGATTTGGTTGGGAATTCACTTGGCTTTAGAATTGTACAAAAAAAAACACAATTTCAAGTATGCTCCAGAAAAGTAGTACTTATGGGAATATGTGTATACTGTTCTGAATGTTTTGCAGACTTGCTACAGTGTTTTCCCAATTTTCCTTCAGTTCTTCTCTTCTTTGTATCCCAAAAGAAAACCTCAGGCAATAGCTGCTGCAATAAATTGTTATGAGTGTTATGTTAGAAAAGAAAAGGTGCTCTGAGGCACAGGCAGGGCATATTTCTATTCTGTGAGGTTAGGAGTGTCCTCCCTGAGGAAGTTTGAAGGAATAGAATGAATACTAATTTTATGGGACAGTTTTCCCAGGTAGATCCATTAGCATATTTAAGAGTTTGAGGAAAAATTAAAGAAAAAAATCAATTTGCTTATCTACCAGCTCTTTATCTCTCTGTGTGTTTTTCTCCTGTGGCTGAGGTTAAAAAGGCAATTATAGCCACAGACTAACACAACATGCCATATCACCTGTAAAGAATTTATAAGAAAATGGCCTAACATCAATTTTGTGGCCCTCACCCCATCTTATTACAAAAGGCTTTTGTTGAAAGGAGAGAAATGTACTTGGAACATATTTTTGGAATGCTATGGGATGTGCTGTCCTCTCCCAGTGAAAAGAGAAGATAATTGCTTCTCCCCTCACCTCAGGTTAATGAGCCAGATTTGAAAGGGACTGTCAGGAAAACAGGGCACATATATCAAATTTCCAAGACACATAGGTTTGTAAATAAAACAGGAAAAGTTTGGGCCAGTGTCTTGAAATGGCACAGTAGTAAAGCAACTGCAAGTTAATTGTACTTATATTTGTGGCAGTTATAGAAAAGTATTGAGGAGAAGGGATTGATAAGAATTTATATGGTTTCTATTGTACGCAGCTGGCTAGCAGCAAGTTTGAGTCATCATTAAGAGGCTTCTCTGTAGAAGGGAATGACCCCAACACAATGAAAAGATTTTAGGATAACCAGGAGCTGAGTGAGAAATTATAAAGGACTGGTATCATTAGGAAGTGTTTTTGTATATGTCCAATGGGAGAATCTTCAAAAACAATGAAGTTATCCAGAAAAAAATGATCAGTTTTAAATATATACCAGAATTAGAGAACCTCCAAATCAGATTAAAATAGTACCATATTCCATAAACATCTTCCTCATTGTAGTTTTAATTTTAATCTCTCTGATGATTAGTGACGTTGAGCATTTTTTCATATGTATATTGGCCATCTGTATGTCCTCTGGAGAAGTCTCTATTCAGGTCCTTCCTTTTCCCATTTTTTAATTGGACTGTCTGTCTTCCTGGAGTTGAGTTATATAAGTTCTTTATAAATTTTGAAAAACCCTTATCAGATGTATCATTGTCAAATATGTTCTCCCAGACAGTGGGTTGTCTTTTCATTTTGTTGATGTTTTCTTTTGCTGTACAGAAGCTTTTTACTTTGATATAGGCCCATTTTTTTCTTTGTTGTCCTAGGAGGTATATCAGCAAAAATATTATTATGAAAGATGTTTGAGATTTTACTGCCTATGTCTTCTAGGACTTTTATGGTTTCTAGTCAAACATTTAAGTCTTTAATTCATTTTAAGTTTATGCCTGTGTATGGTATAAGAAGGTGGTTTAGTTTTATTTTATTTTTTTTGCATGTATCTATTCAATATTCCCAGCACCATTTATTGAATAGACTATCTTTACTCTATTGTATGTGTTTGCTGCCTTTGTCAAATATTAATTAACTATAAAGGCATGGCTTTATTTCTGGGCTCTCCATTCTGTTCCATTGATCTATATACCTATTTTTATGCCAGTACCATGCTGCTTTGTTTTTTAAATTCTCACTCAAGTATATGTTTTATTGATTTTTAGATAGAGAGGAAGGAAGAGAGAGAAAGAATTATTGATGTGAGAAACATTCATCCATTGGCTCCCAGATGCACCCCAACCGGGGATGGAACCCACAACCTAGGTATGTGCCCTGACCAGGAATCAAACCCACAACCTTTTCATGTACAGGATGATGCTCCAACCAATGGAGACACCTGGTGAGGACATTACCATGCTATTTTAATTACCAAGGCTTTATTGTATAGTTTGATATCAGGTAGTGTGATTCCCCCAACTATGTTCTTCTTTATCAATGTTGCTATTGCTATTTGGGGACTTTGTGGTTTTACATAAATTTTTGGAATATTTGTTCTAATTCTGTGAAATATGCCATTGGTATCTTGATAGGAATTGTGTTGAATCTATAGATTGCTTTGGGTAGTATGGACATTTTAATGAAAAATATTTTTAAAAGCCACTGTTGATTATTGTATTATATTAGTAAAAGTAGAAGTAATACCACTTTTCTTTCAGCTTTCATTCACCTTATGTAAATATATGGTATCGTCTATATCAGTGGTTCTCAACCGTGGCTGCACATTAGAATCACCTGGGAATCTTTTTAAAATCCTGATTTCTGGGCCTCATCCTCTGGAAATTCTGTTTCTTTGTTATGGGGAGGGGCCACAACATTAGTAACAAAGAAACAGAATTTCCGGAGGATGAGGCCCAGAAATCAGGATTTTAAAAAGATTCCCAGGTGATTCTAATGTGCAGCCAAGGTTGAGAACCACGGTCTATATATATAAAAGCCTAAGCGACTGAATGACCGACCGAATGACCAGTCGACTGGTTGCTATGATGTGCACTGATCACGAGGGGGCAGATGCTCAATGCAGGAGCTGCCCCCTGGTGGTCAGTGTGCTCCCACAGCTTACCTCCATGGTCAGTGTGCTCCCACAGCTTACCTCCACGGCCAGCCAACCTCCTAAGGTCCCTCCATGCAGCTGCCAGGCCAAGGGACCCCACCTATGCACGAATTCGTGCACTGGGCCTCTAGTTATATATAATATATTATATAATTATATTTTGCATGTAAATTAAATTGTAAGCAACCATATTGAAATCATTAATAGGGTGATAGATGATTTTTACAGGCCTCAAAGTGAGTGTGATATTTACTGCAACAAATATATTCTTTTTGGTAATACCATTTTCAATTCTGCCTCAACAGTTCTTTAATTTCATTCTCATACAATATGCAACTGTTTTTACATATTTAGATGTACACTTGTCTACTAAATTCACTTCTTTTTCTCACTTCCACAATAGTCACTGACAAGTAAAATTACTACTTGACACCAATATGCTTTTAAATATAAAATGGAAATTCATATTGACATGGAATGGTAGCTTTCTCTTTTTAAGTGGTTGTTCAGATAATCTAAAACATATATATGCATTATATAACTATTAAAAAGACCCACAAAACTTTAAAAAAGTAAGGAACTTATAAAATCCTTAAGAATAAGCCAACTTAGGCTCCTGCTGGGTTTATGGAACCAAACTGGAGAATCACTGGAGAAGTGGGATCTGGAATTGGGCTAGCCTTCAAACCCTGGCTCTAGCACTCTCTGGTGATATGATCTTGAACAAATTACTTAACCTTTCTAGGATTTCTTTTGTTCTTATGTATAGTGGTTAAACAGTAACACTGTCTAACAAAGAAGATTAAAGTGCTCATTACATTATTAGTTCTTGTATAGCTTCATCTCTGAAGGAAAAGAAGAGGATAGGCCAGCGAAACTATAGACAGTATTAAAGATGCTGGAGTGAGCTGCCTGGATTATTGACTTACTGGAACTTTGAAACTTGAGTTTTGTAGCATTCTAACATCATCTAATTTAAGAGTTGACACTGCATTGTATGGTTTTAGTAGCTTGCTAACTTTTACATGGGTCCTAGATTAAACATTGTATAAAGAAAAGGCTTTTGATACCTTCAATCCTTTTTATTTCCATATTCTATGCTATATTTTATTAATTTTATACTCCTCAACACATCGCTTCTCGGCCTTTTGGCTAAGATCAAGTGTATACGCCTCAACAGACTGCTCCTCAATCTTGAAAGTGGACCTGTGTCTTACTTGAGTTTGCTAATTGGTTATTATTTATTTAAGTCAATCATTAAATAAATATTTATTAATCCATCCTACTCTACTTCATGACTGTAGTATATCTTAAAATGAGATAAAATAATTATGTCAAAATATTTTATATTAAATTATAAATGTCCAAACTATTACCCAGGTATATTATTTTTCAGAGTGTTTTAATCTAATAAGATCTTTATTAGTGAAGTATAAATGGGCCAACTTGGGCTTTGATATCAACATATTTAAGTCCTATCCAGTTATCGTCCAGAACAGTGGTTCTCAACCTTCTTAATGCCACGACCCTTTAATACAGTTCCTCATGTTGTGGTGACTCCAATTTCATTGTTACAAATTGAACATAATTAAAGCATAGTGATTAATCACAAAAACAATATGTAATTATATATGTGTTTTCTGATGGTCTTAGGTGACCCCTGTGAAAGGGTCGTTTGACCCCCAAATGGGTCGCGACCCACAGGTTGAGAACCACTGTTCCAGAACCAAGACATTTCATCATCATGCTAAATGCCAAATTCATTAACTTTCTTATTTGTTCAAAGAACAGGAAAAGATATTACCTAAGGAGAGACCAAGGACTAAACCTAAGAGCAGAACTGCCACAACTTTATTTTATTTTTATTTCAACATTCTGTGTTCAACTTAGCATAGCACTTTGGATGTATGAGGAAAATTAATATGAAAATATAAATTAATCAATTGTGAAATCACACAATCACAATATTTATTTTAGGATATAAGAAAGCAGTTTTACAAATGCCCATGAATAGGGTTCAAGTGAAGAAGTACTCTTGAGTGCATAATTAACCTCCCTTGAGTAGTATGAGAATTAATGAGTTAATGTTCAAAAAGTAATTTGAAATATTTTTATGAGAAATGCCATTAAATAATTTATAACCTCAAATTGTTCATTAAATTTCCTGAGGATATAATTATTACTGTCAAATGTGACCTACAGTATAAAATTACAGCTTTTACCCCTGGAAATTTCAAAGACAGTAGAATGTTTGGTCAAAAGTACATATAGAGGGTTAAAATCTAAAAGAAAAAAAGGGCTCACTTTATCTATAATTAAAAATAATATATTTTAGTACATTTCGGACAAAGAACTTACCTTAAGTTAGATAATTAAAATATTAAAATACAGATAGATTATTGATAAGTATTTAATCATTTCAAAACACCAATGAAAAAAGAATTTTTAGATGAAAGCTAAAATGTTACTGATGTGATGGTCAGCAGAAGTAGTTGAACATATTAAATGCAAACATATTAAATTTGTGCAGTTAAAGGGTGGAAGAGATGACAATGGATAAACTTGTTATTAAAATCACTGCAAAACATTGATATGATTATGTAATTTTTGTCTCTCAAGGTGTTTATGTGATGTATCACATTTATTGATTTGCAGATATTGTACCGGCCTTGCATCCCCGGAATAAATCCCATTTGGTCATGGTGTATGGTCTTTCTAATGTAATGCTGGATCTGATTTACTAGAATTTTGTTGAGGATTTTAGCATCTATGTTCATCAGGGATATTGGCCTGTAATTCTCTTTCTTTGTAGTGTCTTTATCTGGTTTTGGGATTAGGGTAATGCTGGCTTCATAGAGAGCTTGTAAGTGTGCCTTCCTCTTGAATTTTTTAAAATAGTCTGAGGAGGCTAGGTTTTAGTTCTTCTTTGAATGTTTGCTAAAACTCCTTGGTGAAGCCTACAGGACCAGGGCTTTTGTTTGCTGGAAGTTTTTTGATTACTGCTTCAATTTCATTGATAGCTATTCATTGGTAGTTATTGGCCTATTCAGGTTTTTTTATTCTTCCTGATTGAGTTTTAGGAGCTTGTATTTTTCTAAGAATATGTCCATTTTTTTTCTAGGTTGTCCAGTTTGTTGGAGTAGAGTTGTTTGTAGTATTTTTTTTTTTTTTTACAATTCTTTGTATGTCTGTGGGGTTGGTTGTTATTTTACCTCTTTCATTTCTGATTTTGTTTATTTGGGTCCTCTCTCTTTGTTTCTTGGTAAACCTGGTTAGAGGTTCATCAATGCAAACTGGTGCAGCCACTATGGGAAACAGTATGGAGTTTCCTCAAAAAATTAAAAATGGAACTCCCATTTGACCCAGTAATCCCACTTCTAGGAATATATCCCAAGTAATCAGAAACAGCAATCAGAAAGGATATATGCACCTCTATGTTCATAGCAGCACAATTTACAATAGCTAAGATTTGGAAACAGCCTAAGTGCCCATTAGCAGATGAGTGGATTAAAAAACTGTGGTACATTACACAATGGAATGCTATGCTGCTATAAAAAAGAAGGAACTCTTACCATTTGCAACAACATGGATGGACCTGGAGAGCAACATGCTAAGTGAAATGAGCCAGTTGGAGAAAGATAAATATCACATGATCTCACTCATTTGTGGAATATAATAGACAACATAAACTGATGAACAAAAATAGATCCAGAGACATAGAAGCATCAACAGACCGTCAAACTTCAGAAGGAAGGCAGGGGAGGGGGCATGGGGGAGTAAGAGATCAACCAAAGGACTTGTATACATGCATATAAGCATAACCAATGGACACAGACAGTAGGCGGGTGAGAGCATGTACTGGGAGGTAGGAATGGCCGGGGAGAGGTCAATGGGAGAAAAAGAAGACATATGTAATACTTTAAACAATAAAGAATTTAAATAAAAAATCGCTGCAAAACAGGAATTTCATGTTTTAAAATATATACAAAAGCAGTTTATGTGTGTTTTTTGGTTGAAGACATAATTATATTAATGGCATATCCAATGCTCATTCCAATATGCAATTATATAAAATGTACAAAGATAACTTAAAATGTATCATTAGTACTAGTTCTAATTTCCATAATTTGTAGAACTTGGACCTATAGGCAATAATAAAAACAGCATTAAATAGCTTGGTTTATGTCATTTTAGTGAGTTACTTCTTTACATGATCATGGTTAATTCTTTCACTAAGAGGTATTTCAAATTCTTTATTGAAAAAAAATTATCAGAATGACATCATCAAGTCAAGTACCTATCTAAAAGTAACAATATTTTTTTATCATTTAAAAGACTATGAAAGTTTCTACTGATAAGAACATAGAACAGTCTTCTTAGTAAATCTTGTTTTGATTATTAAGAAAACCTATTTTTCTAATTGATACATTTCCTTTTGAAATTTAATATGAAATGTACATAGTCAGAAAAATGAGATACTGCCTTACTGGCATTATTAGGAGGGAAATGCCTTAGGAAGTACTGAGTTGTTTCAAACACTAAAACTTTGGCTTTATAATGAGATGTGTGTTAATGGATCACTTAATTGTCTAACTTTAAAAACATCTTATGTACCAAGATTATCAGTTGGCACACTGAGCCGTGCAAAATGAGAATACAATGTTCATGCTATTTAGAGTCATTGATAAATATTTACTCCTGATAATTAATAGACTATAAACATAGGCTTTAATGTAGTTTTATGTTGTCTAGAAAAATATAAAGATTTTCATATTGCCTCTTTTCCTAGTAACAAGGCTTGAAGTTGTTCTATCTCTAGATGCATTTGAATAAGAATACTTTTGCAAATTTTTTGTATTTTAAAAGGGTTTTAATATATTTTTGTTGGTAAATTTTACCAGCTAACTAGAGTTTATAGGTGATGGGGTATATTTTACTAACTCCTGATGATAAGAAAACCAGAATCTCACAACATCCTAAGGGCAAAATAAATCCATAGTCTTACATTTCCCCCTAACCATGCAATTCATTTTTCTTATATGAGGTGGCTGGAAACCTCTCCTCTTCCGTTCTGAAAAGGTTGGGCTGTGGCTGGAGCCTGAGGCACAGACACCAAAGAGTTTTCTCAAGGCAAATGCTTTCTGGAAGATTTTGGATAAGTAAGCCTCAGGGTGGATTCAACTGACAATTATCCTTGTTATCACAGATCACAGAAAACTATGTCTGCACCTTGAAGGAAAATGTTCTCAAAGGAGATGAACTTTAAACTGGATTCCCAAAGGACTACAGAAGTGGAAAAGGACGTGGAAGGCTAATACAAATGAGGAAATAATATGAGACATTAAAATAACTATAGACAGAATCGTATATAAAGCATTATGGGAGGCAAAAAGATGGACTATATGGGAAACATTGAAATTACGTTAGAGAGGTAGTTTGATATGTTTGATCTATCGACAAATGAGTGACGTATTTTAATAACCCTCTCTAGATTGTGGAGGGTATTCAGTTCTATGTTAGAGTGTGGCATTACACCGTACGTTAAACATCACAAAATTTTTTATCATATAACGCATTAGTTAACAAAATGAAACATGCATTAGTTTAAAAAACAATTAAACATGTACCTCTGTATGTTGTTTATTCTGTGTAACAAACCATGCCAAAATTGTAATGTCTTAAAACAATAAGCAAGTTATATGGTCATGATTTTCTGGCTATATATATATATATATATATATTATATATATAATTTGTTTTTACTATGTGTTGAGCACTCTTCTAAGGGTTTTATAATTATTTTAATTTTTTCTAAAAACTCTATGTAATAATTTTTATTTTTTCTATTTAGTACAATGGACAGAGACATAAACACATAAAGGACCTGCCCAAAATCACAAAATAAATAAACTGGTTTAACCAGGGTATACTAGTAATTATAGAAAAGTAGAATTCCATTTTTCAATCACAGTTGATGGCATAAAATGTTATGTAACTGGCCATAGGGAAAATTAAACAAGGGGCCCAGAACAGCATCTTGAAGAATGCCAACACAGAAGTAAGTGATGTGCAAAGGAAGAAAAGTATTTTAACAATGGTCAGAAAACTGTCAGTGCAGCAGAATCTGAACAAGTTTTAATGAACAACAGGGACTGAGTAAATGCGGTGGGGACTTTAGAACCTTCCCCCACTCCTCTCCTCCTCCTCCTCCTCCTCCTCCCCCCCTCCGCTCCCCCATCCCCTCCCCCTCTGTCGCTGACTCTCTCTCCCCCTCCCCCTCTCCCTCTGTCTCTGTCTTTCCCTCTGTCTCTCTA